AGTACAGAAAGAGAAAACTTGTAACAGTTAAAAACTTAAGGTTATTGTTTCAAGTTTAGTTCAGAAGTACCAGTTCAGATAAAGAAAGTTAGAAAGAGCAAAGTCATAGCAGGCCCGAGTTTTACAGAACTCGAGAAGCAAAAATCTGTTAAACCTATTATTATTTGTATTCTGTGCAATTGTATATTGAATTCTACTTTGAAAAGACCCCCTTGAACTCGAGTGTTTGACTTAAGAGTGTGTTGGTGTTGGTGTGTGTGTGTGTATTGCACATTCACTTTTGCACTTAGCCCAGAGTCAGCATATCACCATCTGTCCATGCAACAAAACGGATGAGCTGGTCCTCATCGAGTGAAATGCTGGTCACAGATAGATTGTCCTCTTCATCCAAGCTATCATCCTCATACAAAGACATAGCGTCTGCCTGTTTCGTGAGATCCTTCAATTGTGATTTCCAATAGTTGATGCGGTCCTTCACTATGCATTTCAGAATATTCAAAGGAAGCTTCATGATCTCCGAGAGCCCATTCGACTTGCCCGGGAAACCAGGAATTCGGGTGCCCTTTGGCCAATTCACGAGAGTAACTTGATGCTTGTAGCACAGATCCGCGAAGTTATCACCCCATTTCATTTGTTTGATATTGTCGTCGGGACATAGATCGCCTGTGAGCCATAAATGAGATTTCCACTGCGAATGTTGAACGATTGTCAAACTTATGAAGTAGAATCAAAAAAATATCTCTTGCTGCACTGCGTATCCACAATCGGCTTTCTGAGTACGAGTCAACTAGGTGCTGTTTCTCTGGTGGAAGCATCCCCTCCTGACCCAAACGCATGTGTTGGATGTGTATCATAGACCCATAATCTGCACACTGTAGCCTCATCGCAGTGGCATTCGAGTTTTTCATTCCCTCAAACAATGGATCTGCCCCCCATTGAACAGCTTTTCCACTCACCGGATCCACCACCCATCCAAAAACAGACAGTTGGTATGTCTTGTAAGTCATCTGTGCCTACAGAAACAAGTGAGTACACTATCAAGCAAGCTCACAAATGGAGCACACACTCTCGAGATAAATCCTTTAGCGAACTTCAAGAGTTTTGCTTCTGAAAGTCCCTCTGCTCAAATACCGGCGACATGGGTTGCCATCTTCGAGTCATAGTACTTCCACAAACCGGCGAGTACTTCATCTCTCTCCCTTTCCGGCAGATCAAGTGTCCTCTGGTACACATCGCGTAAAATTGCAGTAAATTCCGCCGCGGATTGCCCTTCATCTTTCTGCATATTTAACCCATCCTCGGCTGTGGCAAAGTGCTGGTAGATATTCCACATGTTATGATTACGAGGATTCTTCATGGTCAGTCCCATCGCATTCTTTAATGCAACTTCAGAGTGGCCTGCCTTCTGAGCAATCTCTCGAAGAGTTTGATCAAATGATTCTACTGCAAGACGTGCTTCCTGAAGCGTTTCAGTGCGAAATTTTCCTCGACATCGGTCACTGTTTTCCGGGTGTGATCCTTCCTCGTCACTTGACCTTTCTTCATCCCCAGATGTAGGTGGACACTGTTGAGAACCTCCACTTGACTCTCCGCTTTGGTTTGAAGGTTCTTTGGGAGTAGTGGTGGATTTGGGATTGCGTGAACCAGAAGCATCGGGAGGTGGCTGTCGGGGGGGGAGTGTTGAGCAGGTTGATGAGGATGTCTCTCCTCAGAGTCTGAGTCATTGCCGTCGTTGTCCTCCTCCTCCTGGACAGGAGAAAGATGTCGCCCCTTTCCCTTTCCCTTTGTTAGCTTGCTAGGAGGCAGTGGTGGAGGAATATCCTGCTCCTGCTCCTGCTGAGAAGACAGGCATTGTTCGGTGTCCTTTGTGCAAATTTTTGGAGGTGGAGAGAGCTCCTCCCTCTCCTCACCCTGTTGAACTGGAGGAAGGCATCATCTGTTGGTCTTGACACACCTTTTGGGAAATGGAGGTGGAGGCAGTGTCTCTTCTTCCGCTTTGTCCTCTTCTTCCTCCCAGTCACCTTCATACTCCTCTCCCTCCACACCTTGCTTGCTGATAGTATACCCTGTTCGGCGGGGCCGAACTGACAGCCCAGCTGGAGTTGGAGAGGATGGTGGAAGAGGGCTTGAAGCCAGGGGCATGGTGGAGAACGGACGCCATGTTGAGGGTCCTGGTGTGGGTGAAACATCCTTTGTAGCAAACCCCTCTGAAATGGTTTCAGATAACTCCCTTGCTCTCGAGGGAGTATATGGTTGCAAGCCGCAACCTGCAAAAGGCTTGACCAATGGGGGGCTATCTGGCGGCGGTAAAAGGTCAACAATAGCTTTGTATTTTTTGATCGCCATTTTGAGCACACATCGACAAAGGAGTTCTCTGTTTTTGAAGGCACTCAATTTGTCCGAGGATTGAACAGAGGGCAGCCTGTAAACTGTGTTGATACAGTCAGTGACTGCATTTGTCAGTGCCCAATTCTGGTTCCAAGCTCGATACGCAGTGTTGATCATAGAGGTAAAGAGGGTAATGTTGAATTTGAGACCGGGATGGTAAGCATCATGTCCAATCGTGGGGGTGCGTAAATCAGGATTAGGATTGACAAACATAAGACTGGCAGAGTGAACAGGTTCCTGGAATGTAGTGGCTGTTTGGACTGTCCTGGGCGCAGGGCTGGAACAGGGCGGGCGGGATGCAGAGTCTTCTAGAGCTTGCAAAGGTGGACCAAAATTAGGGCGGAAAGTTTTTTGCCTTGTCCTATGTGATGGAGATCTCAATTCTATATCTATATGGGACCGTTGTCACTAACATAGCCTAATGAACTCAATCATCACATACCAGTATTCCTTGCATTGAGTTCAGTGGAATCGCCATCCAGAGTTGTAGAGTCCAGTG